CCGTATTCATCAATGTTATATTGACCTACGGGGAATTTAACCCTATTTTGACACCTTCGTTAGTCTTTAATTAAAGCGTTGCAAGGTAACCGCATTAATCAATCTTATCATGATCTGCGGGGAATTTAACCCTCTTTTTCTAGCCTTGCAGCCTTCGTTTTTGCTCTAGATCCAGGACTCAAATACCCTTCTCTAAGCACTATTAATCTAATTTAACTAGAATATGTATTGTATTTCCCACCGTGACTAAGAACACTGAGAACGCTGCTGACAACTCTACATTTTTTAGTATAATCAATCACAGATTTTTGATAATCAAAACAGGTGTCTGCTCACCTTTTGTATATGGCGCCTTGGTGTAGTTGTCAACAGTGTCTCTGTGCCCTCCCCCTGGACTGGATTCTGTCCCCTGGCTGTCGGTGTCCCTTTCTAGAGATCAGCTCACAAACGTCGGGAGTCACCACTTGTTGGAGTAGAATACCTCTGCTACGCGCCGTTCGTTGGATGAGGCTGGATCTCTATTAAATTAAGAAAGGAATTGAAAACACCGGAATCAAAGTTATAACAAATTATCTGAGTTTACTTCTAGTAGGAAACCAAACACATATACAAGTTATACAGAGTACTCGAGTACCCCGGACTTTTAGATTTGTGATGCGATGCGGATAAATGCATCGGGACCAGACAAACTCATCAAACGAGAAGAAATTGGACTTCAAGTTTGTGATTCGATGCGGACACAGATATCAGGACCAACAAACTCACCAAACCCAAAAGCAATTTTACACACACAAACGTCAGTATTTCTATCTGTCTTTGGGGCGGAGATTTGTCGATTCTTCCTTCCCACTTTTCTCCCAAGCGAATCAGAGAAGCCCTGGGGAGGAGCTGTTTAAACTGACCACCTCCTCCAAGTGTCCTGATTGGCTGGATTCGCTTCTGGCCGGGTTCAATAGTTCTCTCCAGGACTTGAAATTCCAAAGTCCCCTAAGGTCAAAAGTCAATTCTTATCTCCGTCCCGATCTCCCCTCCCTACCTTTTCCAGGGGATCTTTTCCTATTTTACGATGTCTTTAACGACTTAGAAACAGCATCTGGCTCTTAGAGATGATAACAGCCAATGTTGGTGTGTGAAACACAGAATCTCTAAGTCAGTGAGTTTAAAAGTGAGAATAACATTCTTTTTCTAAGTGATTATCAAAACCCGTTCAAACAATACATGTTTACTTCAATACAGTGTAGAATCATATCTTCTTACTTCATATGTCATTCAGTATGCATTTACAGGTGAATACGTCTGTATTTCCTGCCAAATACTAGCCTCAAAAAGATTAAAATATAAAATATAATAAATGCAAATTCTAATTCTACTAATGATAATAATCATAATCATAATCAATTCAATAATATAAATACTATATTATTTTATTATAATATAGTTGTAATATAGTCAAGACAAAACATGCTTATTACATGCTCAAAAACTGATATTTCTTAAATCTGTATTCAAATGTAGTTCCCTCTGTCAGCAATGTATCAACAACTACACACACATTTCTATCAGTATTTCTCTGTGTTGTGGTTGACATGATGATGACTGTTAGGAGTTAAGGGGAGAGGCTGAGCATCACCATGAAATGTGCAAATTGACATAAAAATGAATAAAAGGGGAAAAAATGCTCCATATTTTTTAGGCTGTAAACTTTAACTGTTATGTAAGCCTACTTTGTTTGTAGCTTTATTTAACCAGGTTAAAAATCCCATTGAGATCAACGATCTCTTTTTCAAGGGAGACCTGCGGTACATTGGTTACATATAAAAACAACAGAAAACAAAAAGGACATCACAACATAATTACAGGGGTATAAATTAGCAACCTATTCACAATGACAGGTATCTAATAACATTTCATCCAGCCGCGCTTTAAAATGATGCAAGGGAATCAAAATGCTCAGTTTAAAAACAAATTGCATAGTGTTCCAAGCTAGAGGAGCAGCGCACATAAAAGCTTTAGTACCTAAAACAGTCCTAGCACTTGGCACATTCTGTGAGATCAAAGAGCATATATAAGTTGGGAGTTTACCCAACATAGCTTTATAGATGAATATGTACCAATGACTGAGCCTCCGTACAGTAAGTGAAGGCAGACCTGCCTTGGCATACAGGGTACAGTGATGAGTAAGTGCTTTACAGTTAGTAACAAATCTCAGAGCACTGTGATAGGCGGCATCTAACCTTTCCAGGCAATGGGCAGGTGCATTCATATATATCAAATCACCATAGTCCAGCACAGGTAAAAAGGTCACAGTGACTAGCCTTTTCCTGGCTTCAAAAGAGAAACAGGACTTGTTTCTGAAAAAGAAACCTAGTCTAACCCTCAGCTTTTTAAGCAGATTAATGACCTGAAGTTTAAAAGTAAGACAATCATCAAGCCAGATACCAAGGTATTTATAACAGGTAACCACTTGTCCTTGCATAGTAACAATATCCAAAGCAGTCTCTGGAGTCTTTTTAGCTTTAGAAAAGAGCATTACCTTGGTTTTCTCAACATTTAAAAGAAGCTTAAGTTCAGAGAGCTGAGTCTGAATAATGTTAAAAACAGCCTGTAATTTAACAACTGCCTCCTTAATGGAGGGACCTGCACAGTACATCACGGTATCATCCGCATACAAATGTAAAGTAGCTTCATCCACATTTTCACCTAAACTATTGATGTAGATGGAGAATAAAAGTGGACCTAAAACAGAACCTTGAGGAACACCATTAGTAATGTTTAACCACTCAGAAGACAGCCCATCAAAGTGAACACATTGGGACCTTTCAGAGAGGTAGTTCACAAACCACCCCACTGCATGGCTGGATATGCCAATACTGAGTAGCCTCTGCTTTAAGATGCGATGATCGACGGTGTCAACTAGACAGTTTATCACTCTTCCTCCTGTACATTAGCAGGTAACTGAACTGCGCTGAGAACTGCGCTGAGAACTGCGCACAAGCCGAGCTCATAAGCCGAGGCCCCCTGCGCGAGGCCCCCTGCGCGAGGCCCCCTGCGCAATATGAGGCCCCATGCAGCCTGCATGATTGGCCTGTAGGGAGGGACGGCCCTGAGGGTATTTTAACGTGAGTTCTGTGCTAAGTGTGTTAGCATTTTATCGCTCAGGGCTAATTCAGAGCCTTTGTTATTACCCTTATGTTTCGTTTTGCTAAAAATTCTTAATATTGTCTGATAGCTGAGTTTCTTCCCGCTAAGTGGGTATGACACATTACGTCATGAATGTGCGTCTTCTGCTGTGGGGAAACTACAGTTTTCTATACAGCGGACTACATTGATGTATAATAAGAACAACAACTACTGTAAACCCAGCGCCGTATTCTATCTAGATACTTTGCACCGCGCTCCCACTTGTTGTACCTGGCAGAGCAAGAAACACTCCAGCCTTTTATTTAAACTTGTTTAAAACATATCTAAATAAATATGTGTGTCCCGGGCCATAAATACAATTATGCTGTCAGTTTTCAGATACAGTAAAGCCACGGCATCACAATTCTTCTGTATTCTACAATATAGTTATTTTCACCTCCCGTATTGCTTTCAACCCACCAGCTTTTATGGAGAAAATAAGTTATATAATAATTAACCAGAGGCATGTTTCTCACTATTTTATGCATAGAAACAACAGGCTACTGTGTGTGTGAGGAATCAGCTGTTTATTTCATATGAGTTCCATTGTGGCAGCGTCCGTCACTGCTCTCCCTGGTTGCAATACACAAAGACAGCTAACTGAAAGCTTGTCACTCAGAGGGGGTTGGGGCTGGTGAACGGTATTTCCAAACAGCAGAATTTGTTTTACCTTTCTTGTTCACGAGTTGCTCTTGTTCTGCCATCTTCGCTCGCGCTGAACTCTTACAACTATTGTCACTCACAACCTGGACGAGAGGGCTTTTAGGGAGGGGCGAAAGCGCACGCAGCAAAATAATCGTTTTATTTCGATTACGTTGTTTTCAAAATTGTTGCAAGCCAAAATCGTAATCAAGATTAAAATAAGATTAATTGCACAGCCCTACATCGTAGGTGGATCTAATGATGCCAAATTCCATCTCCCAAAGATTCCTCCAGGTATGTTTTTATTCCTCCAGGTTTTCCCATGCTGTCCACTCGCCCTGCTCGGCTTGTGGGGCTGACTTTGAGCATCGTTCTGCCTACACCCGCTGCCCCCCCAAGCCACTTCTTGATGTACAAATTGACTGTTTTCTCCAGCTTCTCAACTTTGGTGATGGGTAACCCGTAGAGTGTCACACGCCACATCAGATGGGGGATCAATCAGAAATGTAAGCCCCACTGTTTTAACTTGCCACAGGGAGTATGGTCTTGTCTCTCCTCAGTTGGTCGCTCTGGTCGGAGTCTTTGAGTATTGCATTATGACATCACCCCAAGTTCTTGACTGGCATCTCCGACACCATTGGATTGGGTGTTGCGTTCATATGGGACCTCTGATCTGTGATTTTGCTAATGTTGTTGATCATTTTCAGATCCAAAAGCATTGGCTACGTCCAGGAAAAAGACATACAGGTCTCATCCTTCCCTCTTTGCGGCTTGATTCTGATGCCATGTCATGCTTGTATGTACTAAGCATCTCGACATACCTGGTATACCAGCTTTTTGCACACACGTGTCAATCAAGTTGTCCATTTCAGGTAAGTTGTTGTAGCTGTCCTTTCCTTCTTCACCGCTTTCTCAATCTCAATCTTTTGCAGGTCTCCCTTGAAAAAGAGATCTATGATCTCAAGGGACAATCTGAATAAATAAAGGTTTGAAATGAATCTCACCTTAGAGGGTGATGCCATGGTTGAGGAATGGGTGGCATGTCTTCAGGTGGCACATTTTGAGTGACCCATTAGTGACTCAAAATTGTGTACTGCCACCCAAGATTGTTTAACATTTCGAGTTGTGCTGCAATATTTCACTGGACATGACCACTGTCTCCGTGTGTTTTTGTTAAGGTGCCGCCTCGCTGACAGGACTATACCTGATGTATGGATACGGTGCCGCCCTCGTCTGCAACATGATTGGTTTTGTCTATCCAGCATATTATTCGTGAGTATCTTTTTATTAAGATACGGACCTGTTTGTTGTGTTTCCTGCACTCACAAATACCTGAAATAATCCTGAAATGTTTCTAGTCTGCCTTCACACACAAGGCTGAAAGAGACTGTCTGTCACAATTTTGATAGAGCAAAAACTACAAGTCCCCTGAGACAAATGCTAACATTAAACAAATATTTGACTGTTCTGGTTTCTGGTATTGGCCGCTCTGTCTCTGTCACATGTAACAGTTATACATGCATGCCGATGCCAGTGGTACTTAAGTACAGTTTTACTTGTACTTAATTCTTCCATTTTATGCCAGTTTATACACCTTATCCTTTTTCACAGACACGGAAATCCATGGGTGGGCATTTGATTTCCGAGGGTGGGCTCACGGTAAAAATCTGATATGTAACATTTGTGTATCTTGAATTTCACTGACCTGAATAAAACATAGTTAACCTGTTAAGCACCGCCCCCCCCGATACCGGGGGGAAAAACGCGTCATCTGCAGGAAACAGCGTCTGAGGGCTTCTTAATATTCAATAAACTATGAATGTTTTATATCCATGTAACGGGAAGAAACTCAGCTAACTGATCATTTTAATTTATTTTTTGCAAAAAAAAACACAAAGCTAACGCCGAGCCTCTGAATTAGCTATGAGCGAAAAAATCTTAAGGCCGTTAGCACAGAACTCTAGCTATACCGATCGATATACTTATTGGATATGCACAAACAAGCTTAGATAACATCCTGAGAGTCCACAGATTATAGAAATATACGGATCATCACTGAGCGATCAGAACTCGTGACAGGGGAAGCAAATACAGACAACACACGACGTAGCAAAACACGGAGATATGCTCACCTTAGCTGTTATTCTGATCAAAAGTCGTGTTCAATGGCATTAAAACGAGAAAAAACGCGGCTGAAGGTTAATCCATAGGTTATAGCAATGTGTCTGTCACTTTGAAAAAATTATTGATAATCCATAATTCTATTTTTATGCAAAAATCGGAGAGGAAAAATTAGCTACTAATGGTAGCCACCAGAGGTTAGCGCAGCTTCCGGTTTTTCTACGCATCTCTCTCACTCCTTATTTGGTTACCTGTGTGTGTATGTGGAACTTTCCCTCGATTCCATTGGCTCTGACGGTTAGAAAGAGATGTCAATCAGCAAAATCGACCAAGGGGGGCCAGAGCAGTCGCAGCGGCCCCTCGCGGTCTGGAAAAAACAGTGTTTTCGTCAAGTCTGTCGAGTTTGTCACTTTGTTCCTCATGTCCGTTGGACTTATATCGTAAAGGACAACAATACAGCCGTGAGTTTCTTCTTGAAAAAATATCTACTTTCTTCAGTTTGGAAGCTAAACTCGCAGAGGAACTCAGCCGCCAGGAGCTCCTCTGCTACCCGTCTCGTGTCGAGCCCCACCCGGAAAGGAAACGCCATTTTTTGTTTAATGTATACCACGTTTATCTAGGCCCTTTTTGTTTTGTTTTATGTATACATGTCACACTATGGGACTGCGGGAAACGAGATTTTGAGATTTCTGGATGTATAACACCTGTAGAATTTTTGACAATAAAGCTGACTGACTTTGAGATATGGAAAATCTACCCAAATGACCCCAGAAGTGTTTTTTTTTTTGCTAAACCTCTCTAAAAAGGTCAAATGTCACTTGTTTTGCATCAATCTTGATACAGGGTACTTATTATATGTTGTACTTTGGATTCCTAAATCCAAGGGTGGTTTTCACTATAAGTAAAAAATAATTTTTGGACGGACACTATAATTTACAGTTTTTTACTATGTTCAATCTGAATTTTCTTTAAAATAAAAAACATCTATATTGATTCTGACTTTTCTACATCCAACTCACAGGTTTATCATTACTTTGAGAGAAAAGATTATTAATTTAACCCTTTTAGAAGGGAAGCTATGGTCATTTGTTCTGGGAATGTCATTTTCGAGCCTGAGACCTGAAAAACAGGCTCAGGGCTTAAGAGGTTAAAGGATATATATTTGTCTCAATCATTGAAAAGAGTAAATGTGTAACATTACTGCAAACACGCATGTTTCAGAATATCAGAATCAGAATAAGTAAGCAAATGAGCCTGGCTTGAGCGCGCTCACAAAATAAGTGCCCGCGCTACATTAGTGCCCACGCTCCAGTCAGTTACTGTGGGCTTACGTGAGGCAGAGCTCGTCCCTGCCTCACTCCTCATCGCTCCCATGTAGTTGTAGCGGAGCTCGGCCAATGTGCTGATTTTGACTATAAAAAGCGATTGGAATCATACAGAAATCACACTTACAACACAGATCAGTGGAGACATTTTATTATTATTACTATTTAGTTTATCTTTAGTTGTTTTTCTGTTACATTGGAGTATGACAGGGGAGGCTCTGCCCGTCGCTGGAAGACAGGGTGTCCTGTAGGGGGTGGGACACATTGTCCAGCAGGGAGGACAGCTTGGCTGCCATTCTCCTGTCTCCCATCACCTCCACAGTGTCCAGAGGACTCCCCAGGACAGAGCTGGCCTTCCTTACCAGTCTGTTCAGTCTCTTCTTGTCAGCAGCCGAGATGCTGCTGCCCCAGCAGGCCACACCACAGAAAATGGCTGATGCCACAACAGAGTCATAAAATGTCTGAAAGATGAATTATGAATTGTAATGTAAAAATATTCACGCTGCCATATCGCCTCTTCATATCAGCTTACATTTAAATGTGTTTGGGCCTACACATTCTATTAATATGCATCCATGGACTATTGAAAATAATAATGCAAATTTCTCGTGGGAGGGCCCAATCCTTGATGCCGGTTCAGAGTTTTCTGCACCTCATCACCTTAATTGGGCGTTTTCTCAGTTTTGTGAGAGGGCGCTGGCGTTGATTATCTCCCGCTCCTCCACCAAAAGTCTTATTTTGGTCCAGATCAGAACCACTTTTACCTGACTTTCTCCGTTAACACGTTAATTAACTGTAAAATACCATCTGTCTCATTTTGTTTCTACCGAATTACTACTTTTGTACTTCCTAGCAGGGACGTGCGGTCAGGGGAGGCAGGTAAGGCAGGTAAGGCAGTGCCTCACCTATCTTGATGAAAAGTAAAAATACAAATAACAATAAAATGAAATAAATATTAATATTTCTTCAATGGTCTGTGCTATAAATGTATTATCTGTATGATTCCAATCATTTAGATCAACTCAAATTCAACGAGGTCCAGTTAGAGAAAATCTCCCCATGCAAAGGTCCGGAACATCAAAATGTCTAAGTTGCTTTATGAATTAGTGTGATATATATTGAAGTAGCCTGTAGCTTTATCAACGTCTGCATGTAATCAACAACTGACTGCCAATCAAATAAAGAAAGTACAATTAATAAATAACAATATTTATTGTCAATGAACATTGAACTATACAGATATACAGTAAATACTGTGGATATGTGTAATGTTCCTCTCGGGCTGCATTTAAAAATAAAATAGAGAAAATAAATAAAATAGCTTTTGAAAATGTGTGCATCTTAAAAGTGCTTAATTTTAGATAAATAAAATAAAGTGTAGCAGCAGCTTGAGTTTCCCTTTTTCTTTGTTAACCGTTTCACATCATGACCTAACAGTTTCAGCCGATTATAGAACAATATCAGTCTTTACACATCATAACAATTGAACAGTTTTAAAGTTTCTCTTTCTTTCCCTCTTATATTGCAGTCCCTCACTCACTTTTTTTTAATTCAGTGCGAGAATTGAGCTTGAGCTTGTCCTGCCAGGAGTTTAAATCTGGGCTGAAATGGTGTCAGGGCCATTCTGATACACACATGCAGGTGCTCATTGGTTAGCCTCGGTTAGCCTGCGCTGGAACGATATTTATTTTTAATTTTGATCCTGGTGGACTGATCATATTGGGCTCTGAGACTGCTTATTTTTTGTGACCTCAGTTCTGACTTGAGAGGGTCAAACACTTTGTGTTTTGTCTCATATTGGCGTTTTGGCACTTTTAATGAGCGCCACGGTCTCTGAATGAGATGCACTGGCTCTGTGCTCCCAGTGGGCAGGATGAACATGAATGAGTCCACTCAGGGTTAAAAGCTCTGTCCTCACTGTCCACTTTCCTCTTCTTGGAGAGCGCCATGTGTCATTTGTCTCTCCCTGTCTGCTGCTAACACGCCTGTTCACTCTCCTCTCCGCTTCTCTCCCTGTATCACTAATTATTCTCTTTACTCACTTTCCTCTCCGCTTCTCTCTGCCGCTCTCTCGTCTCTTCTTCTGTGTTTCTCTCCCTGTATCGCTCACTCGTCTCTTCTTCTGTGTTTCTCTCCCTGTATCGCTAACTCTTCTCTTCACTCACTTTCCTCTCCGCTTCTCTCTGCCGCTCTCTCGTCTCTTCTTCTGTGTTTCTCTCCCTGTATCGCTCTCTCGTCTCTTCTTCTGTGTTTCTCTCCCTGTATCGCTAATTATTCTCTTCACTCACTTTCCTCTCCGCTTCTCTCTGCCGCTCTCTCGTCTCTTCTTCTGTGTTTCTCTCCCTGTATCGCTCTCTCGTCTCTTCTTCTCCGCTTCTCTCCCTGTATCGCTAACTCTTCTCTTCACTCACTTTCCTCTCCGCTTCTCTCTGCCGCTCTCTCGTCTCTTCTTCTGTGTTTCTCTCCCTGTATCGCTCTCTCGTCTCTTCTTCTGTGTTTCTCTCCCTGTATCGCTAATTATTCTCTTCACTCACTTTCCTCTCCGCTTCTCTCTGCCGCTCTCTCGTCTCTTCTTCTTCTGTGTTTCTCTCCCTGTATCGCTCACTCGTCTCTTTCGCCCCCTGTCGGCGGCGGTTAAAATAGAATCGCCCCGTCAAAATTGAAATCCCCTATTAATGTATTGATTATAGGTCCGGGTCCGTATAGGTCGGCGTCTGGGTCCGGATCCGGACCGCCTGTTACTGAACTATGCTATACACGGTGAGAGATGCAAACTGAGTCAGCGACGAGTTGAGCCTCACCTCGGATTGCGCAATCCCTCACAAA